TTTCTGCTAAAAACAGTGTCTATCTGGGTTAGTTCCATTCAAATCATACCAAAACCATATAAAATTGTTGTAAACATGGCATGAATACTTCATAAATTATAAATACGTTGGAGACATATTAGGCATCATCCCTTCAATGCGGACGCCGCGTCCCGAGAAACCAACTCCAGTCGCTGCGCCACATTGAAGCGGGCTGACCGCCCCTTCGCCTGGCCTAACCGCGGCTATTTAAGTCATGCACCGGCGACGCACAGAGCCGCACTCCCCCTCCTTGAGCACTTCCCCCTCCCCCTTCCTGTCACCTCCCTGAGCCCTTCCTCCTCCTCGAGCCCAGCGGCGATGCCAAAGTCTTGGTTCTCCGCACCGGCAGGCGGAGACGGTTGAAGTTCATGTTCAAGATCATGGCATCGCCGCCTCGCTCTCTGGGCCCATCTGCATTCAAGGGGGCTGGCTACTCCGGCAAGGAGGAGTAGTCATCTCCTCTGGCGATGAGAAGGGACAGCCGCAACAGCTACCCCGTCTCCTTTCGGAGGCGACTCTGGCAAAAGAAGAATACATTCGTTAGATGGAGATCGTGACGGAGAGCTCGCTCAGTCAGATGGGCGTGACACCACCATTGTTGACACACGTGAAGGAGCCATCATCCCCGACGCACGTCTGTGTGTAGCAGGAGCTAACATCCCCACTACGGCAGGTGAAAGATAAATCGGCGTCCCTGCCACGCAACGGTGACCTTGTAGGATCGCGAAGATGGGTCTGGAGGGGGGTGGGTGAATAGACACTAACAAGGCAAAAGTTACAGTTTTTAATTTTCTTGAAACTTAGACAAAATTTTAGAACAAGTTAAATGGCAACCAATACAATATACACATGCATTTCTAGATTATAGGCAGCGGATAAGGAACAACATGCAAGTGTAAGAAAGCAAAGGGAGGTAGAGATCGGAAGATCAAAGACAACGAAGACACGGTGAATTTTTGGCATGGTTCTGATGTGGCACTATCATACATCCACGTTGATAGGGACTTCAACCCAAGGAGGGCGGAGGGCTCCACCCACGAAGGGTCCATGAAAAGAAACCTTGTCTATGCTACCATGGCTTACGCCCACGAAGGACTAACCTCACTCGGGGTAGATCTTCACGAAGTAGGCGATCTCCTCGCCCTTACAAACTCCTTGGTTCAACTCCACATGATTTGGAGGCTCCCAAGTGACACTTAACCAGTCTAGGAGACACCACTCTCCAAAAGGTAATAGATGTTGTTGTTGATGATGAACTCCTTGCTCTTGTGTTTCAAAAGATAGTCTCCTCAACACTCAATCACTCTCTCATAGATTTGGCTTGGTAGTAGGAGAGGTTTGGAGTGAAAAGCAACTCGAGGAGGCTAGAAATCAAGGATCAAATGGTTGGAGTGGAACCCTTGATCTCAACACAAGTATAGGTGGTTCTCTCTCAAAAAATGGATATAGGAAGTGGTAGTTTCGTCCTTGTTGCTCTCTCTGAGAGTAGGTGGTGTGGGTGGGGTATATAGCCATCGCCAAAAATCTAACCGTTACACACCTTTATGCACAACTTGGTGGGACCAGGTGAAACACTCGGTGAGACAGACCAGTGCAAAAGGTTTGAACTTCATATGTCTCTGTGAGACCAGATGAATACACTCGGTGGGACCGATATGTGATGACCTAGGCACTTTCACACTTCGGTGACACCGATCGGTTTCACTTAGAAATTCTGAAATGAAAACGATAGGTTATAGAAGGTTGGCACATTCATTTCGGTTGGACCGAATGTCATCTCAGTGAAACCGAGTTCCTAGGGTTTAAGCAGTAGCTCTGTCTGGTGTATCTCGGTGAGTCTAGAATGGATTGGTTCGGTGGGACCAAGAATGACTTTAGGGTTTTGGACAGTATGATTGTGAGGGTGTGGTTGAGGGTTTCTAGAGCAATATCTTCAAGCACTTGAGCAAATGACTCATGATCAAAACCTCATCCCCTTTTAATAGTATTGGCTTTCCTATGGACTCAGTGTGATCTTGGATCACTTAACCAAAAATGTAGAGTCTTGGAGCTTTGCTAATGCATGTCCTTTGCATTTTGAGGGGTCCACATTCACATCTCATTTGCCATACCTAATTGAACTTTCCTAGAATATTCTTTGAATAAGCATTAGTTAAATAAAGTATATTTTGTTATGAATTACCAAAACCACTCAGGGATAAGCTGCACTTTCAGGCCTCCACGTCGGAGGCTGCGTGAAGAAGGAGTCGACGTCCCCCTTGCGCCTCCACGGCGTCAAGGACCAGCCGGCGTCGGCGCCGCCGCACAGCTGGTACACGTGGATTGATGGGCCTTCGTCGCCACTGCCGCTAGATAAAGGAGGAGTTGTCGCCCGCGACCGCGAAGGCACGTGGCAGCATCCTCCACTACCTCGGAGGAGGCGGTTACAGTAGTTCTGCCAACTCCCGTGCCATGGTATCCGAGGCGGAGCGTGCGGCAAGTCAGTAGGCGAGGTACGATCGGCGTAATTCCGGTCACCGCTCCGTGCTCGCCAAGATAGACGTGGCCATGAAATGGGTCCGCAACGACCCTGACCTTCCCGTCGCGTGGACGCTCTACCACTCCGTCACCACCGCGGAGACGGCAGCCAGGCGCCGCCGCCGCCTTGACGGCGAGCTCGCCAAGATCGGCTAGCAATAGTCGCTTAGCGACTGCTTCGCCAAGACCGACAAGGGCAAGGCCGCAGCCAGAGCTCCGCCGGCCCCGCCGACAATGGCCAAGGCGGCCCTCCGCACCGCGCAACAGAAGGCAGAGCGATAGGCAGCCGCCGGACAAGGCTGTCGTGGCCCTTCGACATCCTTGCGCCGCTGGAGGGACGATGACAATGACGATGACACGGACAGCGACGCGGTGTGGCAGGACATGGCGGCCACGCATGTATGAGGTAGTTGTCCGGTATAGGGTTTAGTTTTTTTTAGTTTTAAGTAAAACGGTCGAAAATTCATTCGTTTATGTAAATTATATCCAAACTTTAATGAAATCCGCCGTCTTTGAATTTAGGAACGGAGGAAGTATTATTCAAAGAAAAAGAAAAGGAGGAGGAAGCTGATAGTTCAATCTTAATTCTTTAAGTAGCTCCAGCCTGAAGCAAAGAACCAGCTACGGATGCTTTGGCCAAAACTAAAGCCAAAGACCAAACACTGCTGCATCCCAGCATGTCGGCAACACTTTGCAATTGCTCTCCACTATCCTCATTCATTCATTGTTGCTCCTTCACCTGACGTAAACATACATCTTCTACTGCAACCGCAACCGCATCATAGATCAGCGCACAAGGTGTGCCAGCCTACCGATTAAGGTGACACTATTGATATGATTCTTCCGCTATATATATATTTCTCATGTTAATTGCTTGCAGTTTCTTTTCTTTCGATCCAAAAGAATAGGTATTTAATTATGCATAGATTAACAATGTTTGTTCAGGCAAGAACATAACTAATACCTAGGCTCTTCTGGTATAACTAGGTGCCAGCTGCAAACTGATTCACCTGGAGGTGCAGATCGATGGTTTAGAATTCTGGAGCTTCCTGCCTTTGCCGAGCCTTCACTGGAACACTAGTCATCATGCCTCACGAGGTACATATATTTTCCCCTAACCGCAGCAACGCGTACATCTTTGCCCTAACGCACCTCCATTAAATCCTCCTCCTGACATCCCTTCTCTAGCTAGGTCCGTCTGACAAACACAGACATACTCAAGTTGTGGTCGTGACATACCGTCGCAGTTTAATTAGTGTTCCTAATAATAGCAAAAGCTAAGTAGGGGCGCTGTTTGCATATAGGAGTAATTGTTACTAGTAGTACTTACTACTACTCCCTTGACAAAAATCACAAAAGGTAATCAGCAACATCATTTAATTGCCATCAAATAATGTAGGTCATCTTTGCGGGCAATGTCGAAAAAGCGGCAGAGGAGATCTCTCGTTATCTAGTGGATACGAGTAGGGCTGCACATAAGCCCATCTATTTTGATGGATATCAGGGCCTGGCTGCTTCTGCGGTGCTTAGAGCAATAGCCCAGCACCCTCCTCCGTCTCTGTTGGAAAGATTCGACAAGATCATCCACGTTGATTGCTCCAGGTGGAAAAGCCGAAGAGCACTCCAAAGGACAATCGCACAAAAACTAGAGCTTCCTCGTCGGGTGATGGCTGTTATTGATAGGCAAGACACGGAAGATGATTTCACTGGGGCAGATGAAGCATCAAGAGGTGAGATTACTGATGTCGGGAGAGAGATCCATCGAACCCTACAAGAACACAGATGTTTAATCCTATTCTGCAATGGAAGCAACGACACTGTTGATTTGTATGATTTTGGCATTCCTCGGTCTGAATGGTTTGATACCAGCGTATTATGGACCTTTCGGGGCAGGCTTCGTCTCAACCAAGGCATTCGTGAAAAGGTGGATAAGTCACATTTTTTTCTTGATGTTAAGTTAAGTAGTAGACATACGAGGAGGGAAATTTGGCTCCAAGAAGAAGCTAGAGAAATTGCTGGGTGCGCAGGTATGCCTGCTGAAGTGGCTGAAGCGTGTTGCTTGTATTTGTTGTCACTAAAAATAAATGCCCAGGGAATCCTCTATCCTTGGGACAGCACCATGTTGGACTACAACTGGGCCACCCATGCTTCTAACTATTGGGTATGTGATGGGATTATACAAGGAGGTCAGACTGAGGAAGCATGGGAGATTGCTGCTACTCTGCATCAACAGCTATGTATAGATACACTGTCCTATATTGGTCTTGATATGAGGTCAATACCGGTGACTCCTCATAAAAGGTGGATATTTACGAGTGACAACTCTGTTGTTCATCCAGAGTCAACGTCATTTTTCCTTGAGACAGTCACAAGAAGATCTAATCCATCATTACGGTTATTAACCAGTGACACATTTCATCAATCAGAGAACCTTCATGTACTCAAATTATGCCAGTGCACCTTTAGTTTTTCTTCACCTCCTTTCCGCTGTTGCCGTAGGTTAAGGTTCCTTGGGTTAGATGGCTGCAAAGATCAACATAAAGAAGAACATCATGAGAATAAAGATATATCAGCAGTGGAATTTTTCCAGAGCCTATGGGTGGTAGATATATGCGACACCAATTGGGATCTGGCTTCATCACCAAAGGTAATAGATCAGATGGCTGCAAACATTAGAGAGGTGCATATAAAGAAGGGAAAGATTTGGTGCCGCAATTTTGCATGGAGACAACTGCGGAACCTTCGCAGGCTTCGAGTAATTGAGCCGAGATGCCCTTGGGAAACAGGCAAAATGGATGAATTTACGGATATGGTGAAGTTGGAGTTCCTCGATCTGTCTGGGAATGTTACAATACAATATTTGCCAAGCATGTCAGGGGCAACAAGCCTCAAGAATATGGTTCTAGATGGTTGTGTTGGGCTGAAGCGTGTTGAAGGGCTCCCCGTGTCACTTGAATCATTCAGCTTAGATGCAGGGTCCGGAAAATATGATTGCAAGAAGGCCAAAATAACCCACATCACCATGGCCGGATGTGCAAAATTATCTGACTTTGTGTTGCGTGGATTACTCCCAGAGCTTGAGGAGCTGAATTTGTCCCACACATCCGTCAAAACACTTGACCTCAAGGATGAGGTGGTGGAGGTCCCATGTCTCCAACAAATCATCATGATGGGTTGTGAGCACCTTCGTGCCGTGCTTTGGCCAGAAATGGGGGTGCCCGGACTAACTTTGCTAGTCATTGACACCCGAGGAGGAGAAAAGGTCGAAAGAACACTACCAGATTTAGACAAGCTAAAAAAGGGACATTGTCATGGATATGTTGCTACAATGGACATGAGATTCATTCAGTCACTAGTGCGAAGAAGTTACGATATCTTTTGGTTCCCAAACACCGTTGGATGTAGTCTAAACCTCTGCATATCTGCTGGCGGACAGTGGTTCAGCAAGGAGAAGATGGGCTCTCACAGCATATCAGGGCCACCCCCAGCCAAGTCATTAATTCCCAATCACTCTTACAACACCTACAATGATGTTGCTGTTGATGACATAAATATTGATCATGACTACAGCAGCGCAGTGCAGTTTCAGCCGGGGGACTACCATGTGGAGATTGGTGATGGATTTAGCAACACTAGCGTGGAAACCATCCCAGGAATGAAAGCTATCATCTTAGTGATGGACAAGGCTGAGTCGCTGCATGTGCATGACAATTCTTCCATCACTAGTGCCAACCCTGGAAACATCCCTGGACTCACGAAGTCCGGTCAAGTGCTGAAACTTGGTTGGAATTGTCTCAAATGGTGTCGTGTGGAGCGATGTCCCAAGCTACACACAGTATTCGATGCTAACCACGTTTATTGCTATTTTGAAGAACTAGAGAGCATTTGGGCAGCTGATCTTCCAATGGCCCGCTGCATTTGGAACGAAGGATCGGCGAGGTATTACTCGCCACGTGCTCATAGGTATGGGAAACTGCAGAGCATACACCTTCACTCCTGCCCGAGGCTCACATTTATCCTCCCACTGTCGTGGTTGGACACCTTGAGAAACTTGGAGACCATCCACATCGTCTTCTGTGGCGATCTGAAAGTGGTGTTCCCGGTGGAGCAGAAGCTCGACCTGAGGATTTCAACATACATACCTAGGGCGTTCATAAGTGGTACACTGGAGTTCCCCAACCTGAAGCACGTGTACCTGCACGACCTCCACAAGCTGCAGCATATATGTGGAGCCAAGATGTTTGCTCCCAAGCTCGAGACCATCAGGGTCAGGGGCTGCTGGGGTCTGAGGCGCCTCCCAGCCATCGGCCGAGACAACCACCCTGTCGTGGACTGCGAGAAGGATTGGTGGGACAAGCTGGAGTGGGACGGTCAGAAGGCCGGCCATCATCCTTCCCTCTTCAAGACGCACCACTCGTCTTATTACAAGATGCCCCTGGAGAGAATTTCCGTTCTCCGGTGAAACCGTTGCAACCCGTTTTAGGTACACATGCACAATGCTTTCTCCAGTGATCTCTTGTTTAATACATGTACCATATCATAAAGTTAACATTTACTATATGGTAGAGTAATATGCACTTCAAAGAATACTCTGCATGTACATCAAGTGCAGATGTACATCAACAAGTTAATTAATCATGCCTGTATTGTGTTCGATTCCTGTAATCCTGATCTCGGCTATGCATTCTGCTCTCAACTATAATGCCATGTGCTATGTTGTATAGATTTGGTGGTGCAAGATGATGGCATGCCTTGCTGCTCCTGACTGCTGCGTTGCCACAGCGGTTCAGGTGTTCATTTCCAAAGATTATGTTGGTGTGTTTTTCTGAAGAATAAATCGGTGTGATGTTGTGTTTTCCCAAGATCAGGAGTAAATCTTCTTAGATTTGTTTCCAATGAGATGGAGACGACCGTACCGTCTGTTTGTGTGTGGTTTGGTTTGGTTTCGCTTGTGGTCATGTTTGTGTTTGTAATAAGGTTTTGATGTGCTTGTGGTGTGTCTACCATGTACCGTCATAAAACCCCTATTGGTTTGACGAGAATGCTGTTTGCCAAAGACTACGCATGAAACAATGCTAAGTGTGTGCCCATGTATCGGTGTGGTTTTACATGTATGCTTGCCTGGGAATGTACATGTATAATATATTACTCCCTCCGTTCCATAATTTTTGTCCTCGTTTTGTCGTGAGTACAAAGTTTACATTACCTCCGTCTCAAAAAAAATTCTTAAATTTTTCTAGATGCGGATGTATCTAACTTAAAAGCGTGACTAGATAAATCCTTATCTAGACAAATCTAAGACAAAAATTTTAGGACAGATGGAGTATTTGATTTGGTTATTCACCGTTAATTTGGGGTCGGCCGGGAAGGATGGCGGCAGCGGTGGCCTGGACCAGCTGGCGGCGGCAGCGGGGAACCTAACCCTAGCTCTTATACCATGTTATGAAATGAGCTTCTATTCAACGGGGCCAACAGGCCAGCAGTACATATACTTGTAAGGGAAATAAGCAAAGAAGCCACTACACACAGCTCAACCCTGTTCTAACAATCTGAAGATCAATATCTTGATCCTGGAAGAAGCATATGCCAGGATCCATGGATGGAATCCCCTAAGTAGACGTCTTGAAGCTTGAAGGAAGATGACTGTGCACTGGATGGTGTGTTCTTGATGAGGATCAGTTTCATGCCTGTTGTCGCTGTTTTTCTGTGTTAAACAGATGTTGTTAGTTTCCTGGTTGTACGCTTTGCGATGATAGATGTTTTGCTCAAACGGTTGTGCAACTTGCGCGCTGAGATGCGAGTGTGTTCGCTAAATACTTTCTTTAGTTTCTCCTTTGTTTTGCTTTCTACCGTTGTAATAACCCTGTTGGTGGTTTCTTTAATGGAAATCGACGAGGTGGCTCATTGTTACGAAAAGAAAGATGTGATTTATAAATGCAATGTTGCCTTGGTAGGTTTTGTTTGTTATTTTAATTATGCTAATAGCTGTAGACAAAGTTCCTTCCTGCTATACATGGCCATGGGATACCCGGTCTGGTCCGAAAAAGCCTGACATCACCCGGCCCGACCTTGCCCACGAGTTGGGCCTGGGCCTGAGATATAGGCCCAACAGCTGGGCCGGGCTTGGCATATTTGTGATTTAGGGAAGGGCTTGGCCCAATGGCTCGAGGCCCAGCGGGCTTTTCCACTGGTGGGTCAGGCCTGGGCCTAGGTTTCTTGCAGCAGGCTTTGTTAGGCCCAGCCCAAAGCCCGGCCCAGCCCGACATATGGCCAGGTATACTTCCTGCCATTCTGGATTGGTAAATCTGACAAATTGTTGGAAAGAGTAGGCTGGTGCATGGTATAGATAGTTTGCTTGAACTTTGGTGACGCAGTTGGAAACAAATTATCAGCGCTGGAATGAAAAAACGGCAGTCTTGTTTGGTTGAAGTATGCACCTGAAATCCGGAATTGTATCCCTTCCCGGTGTTTGGTACAACTCAAGCACGCTGGTCGAATGAATAACCTGAAGCATTGCAATGCAAACAATTATGGTGGTTGGGTATCAAAATATGGGGTAATAAAACTGAAGTGGTTCTGCATTGAAATTTTACTCTCCGGCACAAATGAAATTTAAGCATACTGATTGGGTGAATGGGAAATACAAAATATTTGCAAAAAGAAAAAAAAATCCATAAGTACACAACTCCGAGTGCCAATATTTGGAGCTTCAAGTTCAGTGTTTGAACATTAGGACACTAGAATATTTGGAGCATTGCGGCATCAGGACAATCATTATTTTTTTCTTTAACAGCTTTGGCAGTAAAGAACAGTGATAATATTGAAATGATCTTGCCAGTCTTCACCGCATCAAAAGAAAGCAAGTTCTCATGTCCTTATGTTGTTAGCACTAAATCCACGAAATTATTATAGTTCACAGAGAAACTCTCGGATTACATAGATGGTGTGCGGTACCACATGAACATCGAACATGATGACAGTCTCAAACATTAGGACACTACAAAATCTCAAAAACTCGTAGGACAGTGGCTTATCCGAGGAAGTTTATGATCACCAGGTGGAGCACCAGATTGCACAGGACGAAATCTGCAAAGGCCCTTTCTGGAGGAAGATCCTGTACATAAATGTTTTGACATACATGCTGGATTCCAAAGAACAGAGTATTGCAGCAGATTAAACGCTAACAATGAAACTAGAGTTACCTTGAATTCCTTGTTGTCCTTGTTGACTTGAATACGGAGGCACGCTGCAAAAACGTAGACAATGACATAGTATCATGCAACCAAGGAAGGGTGGCCAGGATTGAGAGGGGCTTAAGAAATTCTTACCAGCAAGCACTGCAGTTCCTATGCATGACAGGACACCAGATAGGAACGAGTTGAAGGGAAGTGATCCAACTATTCCCATGTAACCAACCTGGTTTGCCACATAAGGGAGCATTTCAGTAGTTTGCAAATGGATCGGCCCTTTCGTGATTATGGGTGAACAGAAGAATTATGGCTTATAAACTGAGGACAAGGATAATGCCAGTACACGCTATATCAAGCACACCACCTAGAAAACAATGGCTAACACTTGATCTGTCAAATCAAACATCAAGGGGCATACAAATGCTTAGCAATCCATGACATTTACACCTACACGAATTTGGTTGCCAGATGGCTAGGTACTGGGCACAGCAGTTTTTTGCAAGCTGATACCCTGCTCCTTCAAAATTGAGAAATGTGGTATAGTAATAGTAAGCAAACATGATACCGCCCTTCCTAGATTCTCATGCTATACTAGAACAAATCATTTCGCAATATCACAACCCTCTTTGTATCCTTGCTTTCTTGAAAAATGAAATTGTTCAGGTTAGATTTTATCTTCTCCATCCTAAATCATATATCCTCGCTAAAACATAAAGCATCGAAAATTACCTGAACAAGGGCAGTCACCACAGCGAAAACCACATACAGGTCAATGATCTGCAGAAATACGAGAACAGGATCAGCAATCGGATAGTCGGCTGTGGCCACAGGTTGACAGCAACACAAGAGAGAATGGCAATTGCCTTGAGATTCGTGGGCGTGGCGGCATAGGCCTTGTTCAGGGACTGGATCAGGAGCGTGGCATCCCCATCAGCCTTCGGCATCCTCGCAAACCTTGCACCCTCAGAAGGCTTGGAGCTAACCAGTAAGAAACAAAAACAAGTCACTTACTAGGGAAAATGTAACGTCAGTCGACACCTGAATTTGGCGCACGCCAATCCGTGGACTCACTGAATCATGAGTCGACAAGAAAAGCTCAAATCATCAAACCATTATTAACTTCTAATCTATAGTTTTCTGACGAAATAAAAAATTCGGAAGAAATCAAACAAGAAAAACCGAGGACATGTTCGTTAACCAAGTTACAGTGGGTAAACTCAGCCTGAAAATCTAGAATTCTGAAGGCACCATCAAGTAGAAATATCAACTACAGTATACATTCTAAAATTAGTGAAATCCCGACGCGTGGAATGGAGATCTAGGACTGGAGCAGCTTTTTAAGGACAAGGAGAACAACCTGGGATCTGGAGGGAGAGGAGGAGGCGCGGGAGATCCCGACGAGACTCACCTCAAGCAGTGAAGCCGGCGCAGTGGGGATCGGATCGGGGGCCGGCGGCGACTACGGAGAAGAATGGGGCGGGGGAGGGGGCGTCAGACTCGAGTTGGGCCACTGCCATGCGGAGTGTTCGTTCGTTAGCGGGCCGAGCCCACCAAACAATGTTGAGTCAGGTAAAAATGCGTAAAGATTCTCAAAACAAAAGGTGAAAATGCGTAAAGATTCAAAAAACAAAAGGTAAAAATGCGTAAACGTGCCGTTGGATAAAAAATAGACGGCCAAGAGGAGGTACTGTAGTTGTGTCCGGGTACTGTTCATGCTGATCTGGGCTGTTGATTTTCAATCGGACGGTCGAAAGGGGGGGGGGGGCATGTCCATTCATGTGCCCATGGCATCTCACTGAATCTCAGTCCTAATTTCTCTGGAAAATAGGGGCAGAAACTTTTAATAACCGGGTAAAAACCTCTTTATATTCTCAGACAATAATTCCATGACAAAAGAATGGTGCTCGCCAAACACAACACAATGTACCCCTACTACTTACTCTCTTGCACAAAAGAATTGAATAATGAATTAATGTAGAATCCACACGCACACAAGTCTCATCTTCCCCCTCCAAAGGGCCTCATAACTTATCATCACTTTCTTCATCACTTCTTGGCGAGGGCGCTCTTGGCCTTGTGCCGGAAGAGCACCCGCTTCCTCCCGCGGGTCGCGTTCTCCACCGTGATCACCACCTTGCCGGCCTCCGCCGCGCGGAACGAGTTGCGCACCGCCTCCTCGCCGGCGCCCACCTTCCGGCCCTTGCTCACCACGATGGTGTACGCGCCCTCGTCCGCCGGCACGAACTCCTCCGTGTACCTCACCTCCCACCCCAGCACCGTCACGTCCCACGTCAGCGTCGTGTCGCCCTCGGCGGCCTCGATCTCGATGGCCTCGGTGGCGCCCGCCTTGACGACCACCTCGGCGATCTCGGCGTCGTGCTCGCCGGTGAACTCGGCGTCGCCGTCGCGCTTCAGCCCGCCGTACTTCACCGGGATGGCCTCGATGGGGATGCACTTGAGCAGCGTCTCGGTGACCTTGGACGGGCGGGCCACCACCAGCTTGCTCTTGGTCCGCTGCGTCAGGAACGGGAAGAAGACGGTGGTGAAGGCGTAGTAGGAGAACGGCACGTTGATCAGGATCTGCAGCACGACAGGGCCACGAAAATTCAGTCAGATCTCGAAGCAATTTCATGGCATGATTGGGGGGAATGAAATCGAAATGTTTTGGGCACTCACGTTCCTGGCGACGAGCTCCGGGTAGTTGTCCTGGAAGAGGTCGAGCACCTGCTTCATGGCGACACGGAGGTCCTTCCTGGCGGGGCCGGGGGAGCCGCGGAGGTCCGTCACCTGCAGCAGCGACGCGGCGCCGCCGGGGCGGAAGTCGAGCTCGGCCACGTGGCGCTCCATGGCGCGCACCCGCCACCGGAGGAACCGGGCCGGCTTCTTGCCGCCGTCGGTGCCGAGCGCGCTCCTGTACACGGCCTCGTCCGCGAACACGCCCAGCGCGTTGTAGCACACCGGGTGGCCCTCGCGGTCCGCGCCGTCCAGGCGGCACGCGCCCTCCGGGAGCGCGTCGCCCTCGAAGTCGTCGCCGTCGGCCGCGGTGGCGGCCAGGCTCTTCCACTCCCGGCGCCACCGGAGCGTGCGGCGGAGCATGTCGAAGGCGGCGCCCGCCTTGAAGTCGCGCGCGCGGAGGAACTTGAGGAGGACCACGTCCGTCGCCTCGTCGCCCTTGCTCGGCAGCAGCGGCACGCCCCACAGCGCCACGTCCTTGTCGACGGCGACCGCCGGTGCCGCCTTCTCGGCCTCGACGGCGGCGGTCTCCTCCTTCTCCGCGGCCGCCTCGGCCTCCGGCTCTTTCTTTTCTTCAGCCGCCTCCTCCTGCTTCTCCTCGGCCGCCACGGCCTCCTCCTTCTTCTCCCCGGCCGGCTCGGCCACCTCCTCCTTGGCTTCCTCCTCTTTCTTCTCCTCACCGGCTTCCACCTTCTCCTCAGCCACCGCCTCCTCCTTCTTCTCCTCAGCAGCCACCTCCGGCTTCTTCTCGTCGGCCGCCGCCTCCTCCTTCTTCTCCTCGGCCGCCTCGGCCTTCTTCTTCTTCTTGCCCTCCTTCTTCTTACCCTCCTTCTTCTTGGCCTCGACCTTCACCTTCACCTTGCTGCTCCCGTCGTCGAAGTCGAACAGCTTGCCCTCGACGATGGCCTCCTCGACCTTAGCCCGGAGCTCGGCGAGCGCCTTCCGCTCGGCGTCCTTGAGGTCGCCCAGGCGGTTGCTCTCCTCCCTGAACGACATGTTCTTGGCCACGGCCACGGCGGCCGCACCCGCCTCCACCTCCACCTTCGCGCCCACCTCCTTGGCCGGCGCCACCGCCTCCACAGCCCCGCCGGAGACGACCTCCACGCCCATGCCGATCAACAACAGAGGATTTCACAGCACGATTAGAAAAGAAAATCAAAAGGCTGGAGATTCCCGGTGCGGTGCGGTGTCAGAGGCAGGCGATGCAGAGGAGAAGGTGGTGTGTGGAGCGGGGAGGAAGAAGGGAGCGCTATATAGCGGCCACCGCGGCGTCGCAACGGCTACGGGGCGGGGGCCAATGGGGTGGCGCCAGATAGGACGGGGAGCCGTTGGGTCGTCCGTCTTCGCTTTGCTTGCTTTCTGCGGCGCAGAGCCAGGTGGGCCGCGGCCCATGCCAACGGCTACCTCCTTGCTAACCGCTTTTGTTTCTCTCGCGCGGCAGTGCTCTCTCGCCGCTGGACGCTGGCTACAGCCAGTCAGTAGAGAGGCGATGCTAGCCTGTTTTTTTTCCTTTTTCTTTTTATGAGAAAGATGCTAGGCTGTTCTGTTCTGTTCTGTTCCGTCTCTTGTTTGATTGATCCGCTTTTGTTTGTTGGGCCCGTCCCTTTACTTGCTGTTGTTAAATAAATAAATCTGACTGGGTGACTGCCAGCTTGGCGTCTGACCTGACAGCAGGGCGTTCTTGTTCTTGCTTTTTGAGGATATTTCTTGTTCTTGCTAGTCTAGGGGTTATGAAATAAATTTCATAATGCCAATGGGGTTCACGCATTATGAAATTTATGTCATTGCAATTAGCGGCGCCTTGTTTATGGAGTCACAGCTAATTGCAAGCTGGAGAAATGAAATGCATGCAAGGAGGTGGTGCTGGTTTTAATTGAAGTAGTAGGAACAAGTACGCTTTTAAAAAAAAATTATTTCGGCGAAGGAACAGGTGCACCCTGTCTGGGTTGGCCTATGATTTGTGGCAGGCGTCCTTTGTCCTGGGCCAAGTCATATGTTCATAGTCTAAGATTACTGTGCATTCAGTGGTGCATTGTCTACCGCCTTTTGCAAGCTGGAGAAATAAAAGAAGCGGTGGTTTTGATACCGACGAACAGAAACACATTTTTTAAAAAAAAAAATTATCTTTGGTGAACGAACAAGTACGCATTCGGTTGGCCCATACAGCTGCAGCGGCAGCTCCAGTAGGGTGTACCGCCGTTTGGCAAAAAAGAGACTAGGCTGTACCGTGTAGTACAGCACAGCAAAGCAAAGCAGCCGACTGTTGAGCAAAGCAACAGCCATTGCCGTTGCCAATCAAGCAGAAACAGCCTTGCTTTTGGCCCAGCTGGTTCCCCGTCAGAAACACGCAGCAAGATAGCCTAGCTGTAACGACAAGCCAGCCAACGGCAAGGACACAGGCACGATTGAACGATGCAAAGTTAAGCGGGAAAGAAAATGCTGGTTAATGATCTAATGATCATAGATTTTGGAAGCATTCGTCGTCCCAGCTCAGATCCAGATAGATTTGGTCACCACATGGTCGATGGCATGTGCTGGGCGGTAGGAAGATTCAAAACATGGGCTTCCGATTTGCGAATCATGGGCTTCTGCTGATGCATGCATACTGATACCAAGGACAAATATGTGTCATGGACCTCCAACTGCTACAACCGTCGGAAGGGCATACAAAAATAACCTACTAGCGGTTGAGATGAGCTTTCGCTGCTGACACGACACGACCTCCGCCTGGTGCGACGATTAATTACAATAATATGATCTAGCCTGCTATACACCCCCACACCCCAGCAATGCCATGTGGCCGTCTTAGTAAGGTCAGTAGCCTTCGACCACATTTTTCGCACCAGGAATCAGCTCAAATGGTATGAACGATCAAGTTAGCCAATCTGCCATGAACACACGGCAAACTGTCAACTGCGCCATCCACAGAAGCGACGACCATAATATCTCAACCGCGTCAACTGTCCGGGAGAGCGAGCAGAGTAAATCAGCGCTGGTAACTTGTCGATTTCTGACGAATCTGCTGCTTCACCACCTTTGCTACAATGGCCTCATCGGCTTCCTTGTATTCACCAGTAACCCTGTGGAAGGAAATACAAAGATGATTTGGTTATTAAGTTAGCCATGCAGTTTGAACACAAGGTAAATATCTTCAGGTGAACTACATAAACCATAATTGACCCTTTCTGAAGGCACTTCCGAAATTATGGAA